TAAGTTCCGGAACAGTATGAACCCAGCATCACCTAACAAACGCATATGCCTCTGTTCCACTGGAGTTGGCGGCTGGAAGGCGGGGCTTCGATCTATTAATGAGCACGTAAGCGTAGGAGAGGCAGGCTTTTAGTCTCCCTCGTGTATGTGCTCACTAATCGACCGAAGCCTCGCTCTCCAGCCGCCAGCTCCACTGAAACTGAAGAGGCTATATCAGAAAGAACGGTGGAAGCTGACGTGCTCTATGGAGAAGGCAAGAAAATTCAAAATTTGCACGGTGCTTCAGATTTGAGAAGTCCAGTTTTTTACGATGTGTCGGGCACAAGCCATACTAGATTCACTTCTATCAAAGAATGATGAATCCGATTTACTTCGCTATTGGTCAAATCAGTGAAGATTAGGCAGTGGATCAGGGCGATCAAGTGCACCAAGTGAATCCGGCGCGTGCCTTGCCTGTCTTGTTTAGATTCCTGTCATTCATTCTGAGACCAAGAGACTCGAAACAACCTTGCAAACAATCCTTATTTATACAGATCACGGTGGTAAATTTGCTAATCAGAGGATCAACTTTTTCAACAACGTTTCGAAGCTCTTTCAAGTCTCTTAATCTCAGAATGAATGGTAGATATATCCAACTTCTATTTGTTTTCAGATGTTGATTTGAAGATATGAGAACTGTTGCCCGCTATATTTTCCTGATTCTTGGTATTTCGCTGTATCTGTTTCTGTTTTTCAACGATTTGTCATCGGAAGAGAGCGAAAAGGAAGATGTCTCAGCTTTTGAAGGATATGCAGAGTTGGAAGAAGAGGTGGTGCCGGAAGTGCGGTACGCAACATATCTAGATTCCATGAGGACCCACCGCATGAGTTTTCATCTATTTATATGAAAATGAATCTATTTAGGCCTTCACAGTGCGCTATGCATTCATGTTTTGACTATTCAAAATGCAGATCTGGACTTAAAGTCTATGTCTATCCTGATGTAGAAGGCTTGGTACCCTCTGAAGCATATAGAAAGATCCTCACAGCTGTTCGAGAAAGGTGCGGTTTTCATGAATTTCCCATCGAATAATTTTCTAGTTCCTCTAATA